AGGGCATTCCAAAAACTGTAGGAGGGGGAAAAAGACTTCAAAAGTGTTTATCAGAGGAAAATGAAGTGTCAGGGAGAAACTGTTGCAATTGCCAAATGAAGCAGAAAATAAAGACTGAAGAAAATTGATTTAGACACTGGTGTCTTTAATTTTCTATATTCTTTTTCATTCAGATAAAGAAATCCAAAGGGTCATTCTGAAAATAGTTTTGATGAAGCTTCTACCAAAAATTTAAAAAGCATGCCTAAAAAAGATTAGATCTATGGAAGATGCCAGTTCTAGATTATATCACATTTGATTTTAAGAGAATAAACATAGAAAGGCACAATAACTAAACTCACTTATGCATCTGACAGTTTGTCTCATTCACATTTATCAATGGCTTCAGCAACATGAAAACTTACATTTTGGTGTGAAACATGAACTTGGAAAAGTGCTTCCTTGGTCATCGTCTTCCAGCACTGGAGGAAACCTCAACAGTCTTTCCCTGATTTAAAGTATACCAAAATAAGTTGAAACAGAAAACTCCAGCAGTGCAATTCCTCTCTATGTGATATAGATAATGCTGGTTTCAGTATAAACTGAAACAACGGTTTAGAAAACATATACAATATCCACTATAACAGCACAAAGCTTCAGGTGTACATAAGATTTTGAGCTATTGTAGACATCTGAATCTCAAGATTAGTGTCCCCTGAGAGGTGTGTATGGCTGCAGGACATGGAGCAGTGGATACCTGGATTCTAATCACTCCATTCTCTACAGGAGTGCACAAATCTCCTGCTGCCACTGCTAACAAACAAATGTGGTCCTTCAACAAAACCTGGGCTCTTGCTAAAGCAGTAAGAGATGTGAAAAGGGTGGCACCTCCAGATAGCCTCTCTCTGTTATTTTACACTTGGATTTTGCTGACAGAGAGTAAGCAGGTTGTGCTGTTTGCACTGTGCACCCTGTGAATCAATGATTTGTAAAGGATGACTCACCCCAGCCACTCTTGATCCTATTGAAAGGCCTCCAAGTGTATATGGCAGGAGAGTTTTGTCAGAGCTCAATACAGCACTTAAAAAGTTAGTGAAGTCGTGGATGTATCAAGGGGCTGGAATACAAAATAATTATGTCAGCAAGTTTACTGCTGTGTATAAAATAAAGTCCTGTCAGGTTTCAGATCCTTGTTGCTGAGAAGCAGAGAAAGAACAGGAAGATTTTCATTAAAACTATCATAAATTTAGAAGGCAGTTCTTTCAATTCACCAAAGCATGTGTTCAACTGTTGAGCAATAATGTTTTGTTAAGGCAATATTTTGGGGAGGGAGTAGATTATTCAACTAACAAAAAGGTGGATATTTTTTGGGAAACACTAATTTCCTGTCAAACACACAAACTCTAGAAAAGCCAATAAAATTAACTGAATCCTTAAATTCAGAAGCACCACTTCACTATCTCCCTAGTACAGCTGTAATGCTTCTGCACCATTTTGTTCTTGGTTTCTCATCACTGCTTGTATGTTCTTTTTGTACAGAAAAAAAAAATGTTTGGAAGGGAAAATAAATTTCCAGGGTCTGTACACATCAGAGTCAGAGAGGAGAAAGATTTTAGTAGAATTTTTTTTTTTTTAGCTTTAACATGTAGGAAGAAATTATCCCAGTCAATAGGAAGACAGGTGTGAATGAGAGGTTGTCATAACTACCTTTAATTGACACTATATATTTTTTCAAAACCTGGAAATTATTTTTAGCTGTGCCACATGACATATAGGAAGAATAAATCCAGAACTAGAATATAGTAAAGGGGTCTTCCTGCTCTTAACCAACCTCCTGAGATGAATCACTGATGAGAAAATGCTGATTAAGTCACTGATGATGTGTGCAGGTGTTTCCTTTTTGTTTGGGAAACCTTAAGAGAGACCCATGGGAGGGAAGGGGTTGGGTTGGAGAGTGCTTGTGGAAGAAGTGCTGTGGCTGAGAACATATGCAGGTATGTATGTGGATGATGTAGGCTGTTTATGAGCCTTTTAAAAAGCTTATGTTATTTTTGTATCCAAGTGTTTGCTGAATCTGTAAACTTTGTGGAGGGAATAATTTGCTGGTTTGTGCAAGAAGGGTTGTTCCGGTTGAGATAAAGTTAACTTAGCTAAGCTAGTTCAATCTAATTTATGTTAAGAGTTTGAGTAAACAAGCACATGGATTTCATTTTTGAAGGTATTTCTGAGACATGAAAATATTGTGTAAACAGTGGGAGGCAAGGATAAAAACTGGAAACAAAAAGGACAAGGAAAAAACCAAGATGTTCAGCTGGGTTTTGAATATGTTTTAAGGGATGAAAATGAGCAATACCATATCTGGAAGGGTTTCCAGGAACTAGGCTTGTTAGATGGTGAAATAAGCATTTAAAAAATCTAAATACCTGAAAAAGGTTCCTTAATTTGACATATTTGTGGTTATTCTGCAAAAATAATTTCATAAATGTTTGATAGGGAGCAATCCATGTTTGTACAGAGTTTTTTGTATGGTAACTACTTGAAAATTATAGCTTAGGTGATTCTAATGATTTTTTTTCCTTTGCTCTTGATATTTTTTTCTTCTAAAATGCAATCTCTTACAAAAATTAATGTTTTTAGATTTAATTTTTAAGTTTTTATTTCTACTATAAGTGATGGTTTGGAGAAGGCCCTCCTGATTTATTTTGTAATGTTCCCTCAATTTTCATCTCTGATTTTACCTTGGAGAAAATAATGGTTTTTAAGGAAATATTCAATTCAGTTTGCAATAAGACAATGGGGAAATATAAAAGCCAATAACTAATTTTTTGTTTTGTAAGACATTGTGATTTGGAGTTTTTCTGAAGTGCTGTGTGACAGGGGAACAAAACTTTTCTCTCAGAAGGTCTCATTGAAACACTTTTAAAGCAAATTGGTATGGTCTGGTCATCACCCGAACCATTCCTATGCCATGACCTTAAATTTCATCCCAAAAAATCTTACATTGCACCACGGAAAGGCATTTTTAGTTTTCTTTTTTATTTTTTTCTTTTGTGGTTTTGGTTTTTTCCCTCTCACTGGAATGTATTTGCTGTGCTGTGGTTACAGGGTCACGTGCTGTTTCTTGAAAGTCTGGAATTATATTTTTGGCAATGTTTTCTACAAATCAGCTTTTTATTAAAGCCGTCTTAAGAATACCGATTTTTTTTTTTTTTTTGTTCCCCTCAGTGAAGGTCATCAAAAAAGCATCAGGAATCACAAAACAGTCTCTAAATCTATGTCAGCTTATTGGATTAGATGAAGTTATGTTCTCCTCTCCACATCTGTTTCTCTCGTGTTTTGACATTGTCTCAAGCATGTATGAGTGTTTGGACTGTGCTTGGTGCTGAAGCACTAGGTATTGTTATTGGGTGCTGCATTAGATAATAATGAATTAGATAATAATTAATGCTTCTGGAGAGACAACCCACACTCCATTTGATCTACGTGGAGAAGTCCACGTTTATATGGAGGCTGTGTGTTCTCAAAGTTTTGTCTAATTTTAGGGAGAAGTTTAAAGAAAGATTTCTTGTGTTTTCACTAGATTTTGAGGGGTAGTAACATGGAGCCAAGTTGTTTATTTCAGTGATATACAAGCAGAAAAAAATCCCCTAAATTCTGCATGCAAATGTGATTGAAGATGACTTTTAAAAATATGTAGGTGCATGTTTACACTATGGTGTTTATTCTCCTGCTGCTGTTTTCTCCTCTTTCTCTAATTAAGTGCTGCTTGTTAAGCCCCCCTTTTTCCCGATATATTAAAAGATTGGCTCATTGAGTCCCGTGAATATATTTTTCCAGTTTTCCTAAATTTGAAGCTATAGTTAACAGTTGATTTTTGGTAGAAGAATGGTGATTGAATTTTTCTTCATGATTAGGGTTGTTTGGCTAATTTTGAGGTTGGGCAGACCATGAACAACAAGTGATATTTTAAACGAAAAAATGCCTTTTTCCACAAGATACCACTATTTAGTCCCTTATTCTGATGTCTTCTTCCTTCTTTTCATAGTACTCTCTAGAAAATGAATGCAAATTTCCTTGCTTTCTTTTCGCTCAGTTTGAACCGCATGTTTTTGTTTCTAGTGGGAATGGAAGACAAACAGCATGAAAATGACACAACTCAATCTGAGTAAAAAAAAAAAAATCAATTATCCATTTTCCATTGTCTTTAATTTACTGTCATTTCCAGTCTTTTTTTATATTTAAAAATAACCATGTGGAGTAGTACAGAGATCCAGAGGCAAAGAGAAACACCATCTAGAAGACTTCTGTAAAACTGTGTTATGTAAACTTGTCTGAAAGTGAGAACCAAGCAGATTTTGTAGCTGTGGAAGTATCTCCCATTCTCTGTTTTTGTAAAATGCATGTTACCCATGCAGACCTTTCACTAGTAATGATGCGTCCATCTGTTCATGAGTCAGATAAATACACAGATCTTCCTTCAGTGAAGCTTTACAAGAGAACTCCTTAAGCCCTTACACAACCAAAAAAACACCCCTGATTAAAAAAAAACACAAAAAAAACCCCAAAAAAACCTGCTTTTCCTACTGGCAATTTGTACTGATGATGAGATGTCCTTCAGTGAGCTTTACAAGAGAACTCCTTAAGCCCTTACACAACCAAAAAAACCACCCCTGATTAAAAAAAAAACACAACAACAAAAAAAACAAACCTGCTTTTCCTACTGGCAATTCGTACTGATGATGAGACTTGACAGCTTGGGAAGGTGAAGGGAGTTCTTGGGAAATCAAGAACTGAAACTCCAACTTGCATGTGAGGTGATTTTCACTGTGGTTTTAAAAGTGACTAAAAGTGCTCTTGATTTTTAGGAAAGGAATGGAGGCATCCCAAATAGTGCATGATAGCTGGAGGTTAATAAAAAAAAAAGAAGAAACATGTGGAGTCCAAAATCAGTCTGGAGACCGATCTCTGGTGGGCAGGGAGCCTATTGGACTGCCTGCTCACTGAGGTCACACTTCAGCAGGGAGAGAGAGAGATCACAGGCTGAGGAGATGAATTATGACTGCTGAGAGCCAAACATGATCTCTCTGGGCTTCAGCAGGAAAACTGAACAGTGAGGAGCACTGACAAGCTGAATCCCAGAGTCTGAGGAGGTAAGGAATGATGATGTCCAGACCAAGAAAGGAAATGCAGCATGATGTGAAACCCATGGTAATTGAGACACAAATAAGTTTCCTTTCTAAACCCACAGATGCAATAAATGATGAAAACACTAATCCTAATGATGGCTTCTGCAGTGAGTATTTTGTATTTGAGGGGGAAAATAACAATTTTCTGTGTTTTGAGACAAATCTCCAAGTTAGTAAATGGGGAATAATCACAGCACTTCAGTGCATTACGTATAAGTTATATTTAGGATCTGTGTTGTGTGTAGAACCATGACTGAAGACTTTAAATAGCAGAGCCTCCTCAGAAAAGAAATGTTAATAGAAATATTTTGATCAATCAAGTTTCTATTTATTTTGTAAGTAATGTAAATATAGTTCCTACACACTTGCTGAATTTGAAGCTTCTGCCTGTATAACTATGTAAAAGTTATTTTTGCAATCTTCTCAGTGAGTAGTCTTGGAAAAGATATTATTTCACTTTCCTCCTTCACCTGCACAAATCCAGTGAAGTTAGGTCAACTAAAATAAAGCATGTATGTATAATTAATACTACCCTTGATATTATAGCACTTATGCCTGAAGTTCAACCTGAATACAAGAATTTTGGCAGCTAAACTAAAATAATTGAAATGAAAAAGAAAAATTAGACATAATGATTGGCATATTCTCTATTGCAAAAGAAGACTAGTAAAATTCTTACATTTTAATTAGCAAAACTTCTTTTTCAAAACTTTTCGAATTTGAATTTTACTGGGGCTTTCAGCAGCGAGGTAAATGTGTTTTAATGAAGACCATATCTGCCTATTTTAAAAGCTTCAGATAGACAGATTAGGTAGAGTCAAGGTTTCTGGAGGTGATGAAATGATTGATGAATAAAGCAGGTGGGAAATCCTTGAAGTAACTGTTAAACAAAAGTCTACAATAAAACCTGAAATCTCCATTTGAATAGAAATTTTGGCAGAAGAGGAAAAAGCTTTATGGAAAGTCAGGTTTTCACTGTTTTACAATGAATTTTACAGGAACAGCTGTTCTGTTTTGATGTATAACTGGAGAGTGCTGTTATCAATGCTGATACTCCCATTGCTTGCTGAAACAACACTAAAAATATTTTGCTGTTTTTGTTGGTTTTCAGGTTCTTCGAATGTACATTTTCTTTCTACTAATTGAAACCTAAAACTTCATTTCATTCTTTGAAATGAAATTTTAATGGCTCTAGGGGGAAAAAATGGCTTCAGTTTTTAGTGGGGAGGTTAACATCTTGCCCCATGTGTCAGCAATAGCATCTGGAAACTGTTTTGATGTATAACTGGAGAGTGCTGTTATCAATGCTGATACTCCCATTGCTTGCTGAAACAACACTAAAAATATTTTGCTGTTTTTGTTGGTTTTCAGGTTCTTCGAATGTACATTTTCTTTCTACTAATGGAAACCTAAAACTTCATTTCATTCTTTAAATGAAATTTTAATGGCTCTAGGGGAGTTTTGAGTGGGGAGGTTTACATCTTGTCCCATGTGTCAGCAATAGCATCTGGAATGAGAAAATAGCATCTTGACTCTGCTTGAGCAGGGAGGTTGGCCCAGACAACCCATTGTGGTCCCTTTCAACCTGACCCATTCTGTGATTTGTTTTCCATGCTGAAAGTTCTGCAACAGGGCTGCTGTCAAATCAGCTGAATCCCAGCTGGGGTAAAACATCCTTGCTCACACCATTTCATGGGAACTCCTTGGAGGCCTCCATAGGTATTTTTGATGTGGATGGTATGTATTATTATTTATGTAGCATTGCCCAATAGCTGGTTGTGGATGAAAGTATCCCTTGGAGAGGCAGATGTTTTGAAAAGCTAGATTTACATGTAAGATACAGAAGTATATTTGGTACAAGGGCTCCCCATCTAATCTTGCCTAGAACAGATTAATCTTTGTCATTCTCAGGCTTCAGTTGAGTTTACAGACACCAGAAATAAACTTGCAAAGACTGAAAATTATTAAAGCTTTAATTTGTACTTTGGTACAATATACACAGTGAAGCCTTTTTTTGGTTGCTTTATTTTTTTAAATAAAATTTTCCATCAGTTGATTCAATTTAAGCAGAATTTCCACCTTGAACCTAGTAGGATTTGCTCACTTCAGCAATTAAACATTTTTCAGTAAACAACTATAAAAAGAAACTTAACAATGTATCTGGGAGTTATCTGAGATCTGCAGGCTTCTAGACTCAAGCTTGTAGGGTTAAATGTTTTGCTTAAATCCATTAAAATGCTTAATCACACAGTTTATTTCTGAACACTAAGTAGTTTCAATTAATATACATTAATGGAGTATTGCATTTCTTAATAACTTGGATGGCTCAGGAGTGCATGGCACATACCAGCCTCTAATCACCTACAAATTTCTAGAACCTGAAAGAATAACTGAAACAAAGCAACATAATGAGCTAGGCTTTGTTTTATTCAGTTCATTGTTATGACCAAACTTCTATTGGATTTTCATGTAGATTGCCTCAGTCTGCATTTGCATTACAAATTTTTATTCTTGTTGGTGTTAAATAGATATATAATCCTCACATGACTGTAACAATGAGCTTACAGGCTCACTTATTTTATTTTATAATTCAGTTTTGTAGTGGAACAAAAAGCAAATATTTTGCTATAATGGTTATGCTAATTGACTTTTAATGTTGTTTTATTTTCCAGCTCCTCACCAGCAGTCTCCCAAGTTTAATAAAGCTCAAACATTTAATTTTATTGCCTTGGAGTATTGATTATCTGTTTAACACAAAGAACAATGTGATCTGTTGTCTTTGCCTTGCTGATTATCTGAATTATCTTGAAGAAATAAGAGATGTGCATGAGGAGAATCTCACACAGTAAAAAAAGTCACTTGTATGTGTTACTCATGGCTATTGTACCAAAACCAAAAGCCTTTAATCTCAGACTCACAAGGGAAAGAAATTTTATTGTTTCACAACTGAACTCAATATTCCCTCAGGCATTGCACCACCATCTACGTTTCTTTCTTGATTTTTATTGCCAACATAAGCTTATTTAAAAGAATGAATAGCATACTGTTGAGTTTGAGACAAATACTTAAATTATACTTAAACATCCTACTAGATTTATTAGAGAAGGTATTTTTTTCAATCTTAGAGGTTAAATTGTTGAGAAAAACAACATGTGTTTCAAAGAAATAACAAAGAAAAATAAGAACAATTGAAGACTGCGTCCATTCTACTAGTATGAAATATTTTTCACTTATCATGATGTGCCTATGAAAACTTGGAGAGAGGGGAGACCAAAATAAGCAATTCACAAGATAGAATGAGTAACTCTTGAGATATCATAATCAAAGAAAACCATGTTTTTCAACACTTTGGAGTGCAGCATTTCATGGCAACTGTCAACATTTGTGTGACTGTATTTTCACTCTTTGTTAATCACATGCTTGGAAAGAACTAGTCATTTCTGTCAAATGTATGGAATTTGTCTTTATTTCACAGTGAATTCTTTTGAAAACTGCCACAATGTTGACTGTGCTGCATCGGTTTTCTGTTTGTGAAGTAGAACAAATTCCAGGTGTTGTGGCAGCAGATGTTTGGGTCTCAGTGTGTTCATAGGAGCTGACATCCTAGTGAATCACCAAGTGTGATCTTGTGCTTGGTCAGCTGGAACAAACCACAAGTGGTTCTTGCTGCTTTTATTTTAAGTGTATCACATCTTGGGCCTCCAAATTTTTTTGAGAAGTGTGTAACAGGCTTAACAAGGACTCCTCATCTGTTTAACACTGTTACTGGGTACATCCATTGAATTCATTGGAGAGAGGAGAACAAATCACCTAGGATATTTCTTTTGAGAAAGTAAATGAAGGTAGATGTGTACAGAAGGTGTTGGTTGTTATTGGGATCTCTAGGTTAAGAAAATCTGTGTTTGCTTTTATATGACCTGCAATATCAATATATGCTGTTCAGCCAGAACAATGTTGAAGAATGACTGAAATGCAGTTTTAGCAGTTGTAGAGCTTCTAGAGTTAAGAAAAGGGAAGTGTTATCAATTCCCTTTTAAAAATCCCTTCCTCTCAGTTAAATTTTACATTTGCAATCCTACTGTCAGGAGAATGGAATACAGAACTATGGAATTGTTTGTGTTGGAAGGGACATTTAAAGGCCATTTAGTCTAACTGCCCCTGTGATGAGCAGGGACTTCAATTGGATCAGGTTGCTCAGAAGCCCATCCCCCCTAACCTTGAGTGTGTCCAAGGATGGGGAATCTGCAGCCTGCTCCTGGCCTCACCAGATATATGTTAACCTATATATGAAAAAAAGAATGTGGTTCGGATTTGGACTGCTCTCCCCTTGGCTACCCCTACTTTTTTCTTATCACAAAAAAGAAATTTTTCAGCAGAGAGCATTAGTTAAGACTGTGGTGTTTTCTAAGTCTGAAATGGGCTCTGTACTTTAATTTTGTGATAACTTTATGACCAGTTCTAATAAAGGCTACTACTTCCTGGAAAATATAACTTTAAAATTCGATGTTGGCACCCTCTTTATAAAAAGTTTGGCATTTGGTTTGTCTCTTAGATTTGTGGAGAAATTATAAAAATACCTAGAACTCCATCTCTTAGTGTTCAAATTCAGGGATAGTGGACCAATTTTCTTCCTCAGCCAAGCTTATTTTTTTGACCAGGAGACCATCTCAGTCAGGAGAGCCTTTGGATTGTTTTACCTCCATAATCTCCCTTCAGAAATCATTCTTTGCAACTCTTTTGTGAGCCAGAAATGTGAATGTGCATGACGTATTAGGTAATTATTATAAAGACCATTTGATTGTTTAAGAAATTTATTAGAGGGAATTTTTCCATAACCTTTTGACCTACATGCAAATATTTTCAATGTTTCTTACTCCATTCTACTTAAAAATTAGATAGTGCAATGATTTATTGATCATTTTTATATCTTGGAGGCTATATAAACTTTTCTTTTGAAAGGTGACATTTAAACATGGAAAACATGCCATTTTGTGAGGATTTTACTTGGTTGGGTTTTTTTCTGCTTGTTTGTTTTTTGGGGGTTTTTTTTGTTTGTTGTTGGTTTTGGTGGGTTGATTTGTTTTCCCTAGAGAAAAATCTTTTATCAACTCTTGCAAAGTTTTTATGTTGCATAGAAGTTGAATTGAGAACGACTTGGTTGCATTACTTCTTGATATTCAGACATATATCTGTGCAATTTTTTTTGTGAAAGCTACTGTTCTTGGTAAAATATGTTAAAAATATTTCAGGAAATAATGTTCTTTATGTGTGTTACCTCTGGGCTTAGTAGGAGCCAAAATATCCTGAAGTGAATAGTTTCCTCCTTGGGACAACAGACAAATCAGTAAGACACTGATTGCAACTATTGATTTGAATTGCTTTCACTGGGTTATTGTATTGTAATAGTCTTCATATATAAATGTTGCAAATACACAAAAGAAAATTGGATTTTGGTCATTTACAATTGCTTTTTGCAAGAAAAATATGTTAGAAACTTGAGTAAAAATAAGTTGATATAAAATATATTTAATATTAAGAGTTCAAGCCATTTTTTGTAGCTTAATATTGACTATTATTTTCTTGTACTTTGGATCTAATAGTTATTGTATATTTTCACACTAATTTAACATTTATTGTAAGGCAAAATAAATACAAATGTATTTGGGCTGAAAAGAAGAAAATATTTCAGTGTAAGAGTATTTAGGCTGCTTTAGAAGTTAGAACTTATAAATTTTAATGGAGTATTTACTGGGCCACCAAAAGCATCTTTGTTTTCTCAGTGTCAGCTGCAGTAACATCTTTAGATTTTTCTAACTAATATGTATAAATTATTTTAAGGTGGCCCATAAGACTGAAACAAAATAAGCTATAGCACTGTGTGACAAAGCTGTCCATAAAACACCTGCAAAACCAGAAGATTTGATCTTAAGAATTTGCATTTTTTCACCCTGTGAGATTTGGCTAATGGCAACTATCTCCTGGAGGAGACTGTGCTGTTAAGAAAGCTTTCTGCCTGTCTGTTACATGGGCTTAGCTGTCGATGTGAATCTGTGTTGCTCCTGCCGTCCCTCCATCCTTCCACCCCTGTGGCAACTCTTCTTTCACATTTCTGTGGCACTGTGAAGTGTTTGGGAGGAAGATGCAAAATACAGAGCAGAACTGCCAAGCATCATTGTCATGGCAGGAGTGTGAATGTCCAGCACCCTCCCAGACAAATGTGCTGTGGCTGGTGTTGGGTTTCTCTGTCCCTTTTTAATCAGGTGCTGTCAGAAGTTGAGAGGTGAAGGTGAGGGTAGGAAGAAGAAAGGTGTGAGGTCCAGATCTCTTCTCCTTGTCACTCCAAGGCAGAGAAATGCAAAAATTATGCAAAAGGATCATGGATAAGGTGAAAAAAAACCTGGGTGATGGCTTAGAAGTCAAAGGAGGTCTCCTTCTTTTTCAGTGAACACAGAGACACTACAACAGATTTCCCTGAGCACTTGGTGGATGTCCCATTGTTTGATGTGCTCATGGACAGGACAGGTTTGTAGGGGCTCTGAGCAACCTGGTCTAGTGAGAGTTGTCCCTGCCCATGGCAAGGGGTTGGAATTAGATGATCTTGAAAGCCTCTTCCAACTCAAGCCATTCCATGATTCTAAATGAGCAGCACAGTTAAGAGCGTGCTCTGACGCGAGCATTG